TGTCTGGGCGGAGTCGGTGTGGGGGAAAACAGTCCTTTCCCCCTCATTGGAAAAGCATGGTGTTGACTCACCCCTAATTTACACTGCACACGTCTGCAGCGCGTTACGGCTCCGACGCGGCTACCGGAACTGATCGCGGTTCATACCTTTTGTTCTTTTCATATTTTGAATTGTTTTTAGCTTTATTTTTTGTTTTAATTTAAATGTTTACGTTAGTTTTGAAATGTTGTTGTATGCATTTGTCATTTTTATTTAATTTCTTTTATTTTCTTAAATGTGTATATATATAGTATTTATAGAGTTTTAGCTTTTAGTTTTAATTACTTTTTCTTATTTGTAAGTCGCTTTGGATAAAATCGTCTGCTAAATGACTAAAAGTAAAAGTAAAGTAAAAATAATAAAATATAATTTGTTGTTACTACTGTAAATCTATATTTACTTATTATGGGATATCCTTCAATGCTTTCAGAATCTTTACTTTTTATTTTGTTTCTGTATTTTAAAATATATTTTTATATTAACATTTTACACCAAGCAAAAATCAATCGAAATCATCACAAAAAGTAAAGATCACGCGCCTAACAAGGTCTCTGCACGTTCATTCAAATGGTTTGTTTTCCCCCACGGCATAATCGGTTATGACGTTTTTGTGGGCATTCCCAGAGAACAAGAAAAAAGTGATTAGGCCTATTATCATTTTTGTGACACAGAATGCCCCCTGTGAATTTCAGATGGGTCTTTTACAATGACAGTTTGCAATTTATGAGTAACATTTTAACATTACTTAAAGAGACATTTTATTCTACAAAAAATCATACATTAAAAGTACCTAAAAGTTTTTATAGACCACAACATTTTAATTTTATATGTTCTGTGCCAAAATAATGATTAGATTCTACATTTACACATATACATCTCAATAACAGCACATAAACATCATGAAGTAGCTTACTAAAACTAGTCATGCCATCAGGTGAGGAACGCCCTAGGCTACGTTTACACACCAACGATGTAGTCAAAAACGGAAAAGTTTTTCCCTTGCGTTTTAAAAAAGTTTCACGTATACACGACAACGTTTCCAAAAACGTCAACATCTCCGCTGTTGGTTGTAATATTGGTGAAGTAAATCCACACTGCTGAAGAAGCGATCTTGAGCAGCAACAACAGTACCATGTACTGCGCCATTGTTGTGTATGTTTGTTCGCGCTTGCCTTTAAAATCGACACGTACTACGCATGTCTACATACCTAACACGTACTACGCACACGCATAACGTCACCGTTTTCAAAGATTCTCGTTTTGGGTGTTTACATGGAAACGATAACGGTGGCGTTTTCAAAAACTTGCACTTTGAAACACATTTTCAAAAATATGCATTTTCAGTCCCCAAAACGCTGTTGTCGTGTAAACGAACAGGCAAAACGCATAAAAAGTTTCCCGTTTTTGGCTGAAAACGTTGTCGTGTAAACGGCCCCATAGAGTCATGTTGAAATTCTCAATGTGAAAATGAAGATACAAATCAACTGTCTTATCTTGATGGTCTTCGCACGATGTCACTATTATGTAAATCATTTTTAACAAGACCATTTTCATTGATGCTTATCTTGAGCTTTCAAATATCTGTACAGGGTCTACAACCATCAATGTTCAGAGTCAACTACACGAAGGTGGTGGATCAGATGTTTTCTCTCTTCCCTGACGAAGATCACTACTCAGATGCCGGTCCAGATCGCTGCAGAACCTGTGCTGTGGTGGGAAACTCTGCAAACCTTCTGGGATCCCATTATGGGTCTCTCATAGATTTCCATGATGTTGTGATCAGGTAGGCCTACTAGAAGAACAAAATAATACACAATAATCTGATAAATGTTCTCTATAACAGTAGTTCTTTAGATAGCCTATCAACACCTGTTACTTGTATTGTTCTCTCAGGATAAATAAAGGCCCGACAAAAGGTTACGAGAGGGATGTGGGGTCAAAGACGACTCACCGGATTCTGTATCCTGAAAGCGCCATGGACTTGGACAACTCCACCCATCTGGTGCTTTTTCCCTTTAAGATTCGCGACATGCAATGGCTTATAAGTACCTTCACCACAAGACACATCACACGGTGAGCACGGTTTAAAAAAACAATGAAATAAATATGAAATAATTATATATATATGCATAATTAGTAAGCCATCTTTTTGTTCCTCAGCACCTACACACGAGTCAAACCTTCAATCAAAGCAGATGAGAACAAGGTGAGTATCCAATGTCATTAAATGAATGTAAATTAAATTCGAGACTGATTATTAAGCCTTAAAATAAGCAGTGGTGTATGTCTCATAAATGTTTTTGTTTCTGTTTAGGTGATGGTCCTCCACCCTGCTTTCATAAAATACGTCTATGAGAAATGGCTTCTGAAACATGGCAGATATCCATCTACTGGCTTCATTACAATAATATTTGCCCTGCATATCTGTGATCAGGTAAAACTGTTTGCATTTTCAGTTTAGACTTCTAATTATATTAACAGACATTAAGTTTGTGAAAGGCACATGATATATTAGAAAACAAAGCCAAGGGTGCACATAAAGCAGAAATGTGGATATTTGCCTATTAATTTCCCTAAACGTGGCCCTAAAATAATTTGCATGTGCACACAAAAGTTGATCTTAACAATGGCCTTCTTTTTAAATAACATCAAAGTATCCACAGATATGTTTTATGTCACAAACACAACATTGCCTGGCATTCATTTGTGGGTTTCCTGTACATTGTAGATAGTTTTCTTTAGATCTGTGCATTGCTGCACACATTTGTGGATTTTAAAACATTTCTAGCATCAAGATGCACACTAATCCACAAATAGGTAGACTCTTCCCACCATCTGCTTAAGCCAGTCAGATAACAGCCACATAGTGCTGACCAACTATAGCACGCTATCACTCAAACCAATCATGTTTTGCATTATAATCAGGGTGAGATCATAGTCAGTATCCAACAAAGGCTGTGTTCCAGTAAATTTTTTATGCCCTATTGCCCTTCACTCGCAAACTTCCCTCCGACTCATTTACTCAGATGTACGTCATTGATTACGTTGCATGAGTGCCCACTACTGGCAGAACCCTTGGAATGGACTGAATTGACCTATCGGTAAGCCCCGCCCCCCTTAGTTACTGTTGCTCCCTCTGACAAACAAGTCAGAGGGAGTGCTGAATGCTTACGGACATTTTGCTCTGTTTTGTTTGGATTTAGGAAATGTAATAAAATT